ATATAAAAAAATACACGTATGCAATGCTTTAGTGTCTGAAGGCTTCTGCAGAAAGTAAGTCTCAGAAATGTGATTGATATGGGAATGAAAAGAATGGTTCTCATAACGTTTTAATAAAGACAAGACTCTTCTCACAAACCAGGAAGTCAAAATGCATGTTCCATATCTTTTTCTTTCCCCGTTTTAAGCTATTTTCGACGTGGTGTTGCCTAAGCAGAGGAGTCTCGTGGAGCTCACCTGGATGCATCCTCGTGTTCTTACCTGCAGAGGGAATGATGCCGACTTGTTCCCGACGTATCCCCTGACAACATGACTCTGAATGGACAACACACGACACTCCATTACCGCAGTGAAGGACACCGGCTGCGTGTCAAAAACACCGAACAGAGAAAACAGACGTGATGGAGTCTAAAGCTGCACTCAAAAACGTGTGCAGGCTCTGACACGCTGACACCTAGCATGTGAGGAACAACTCCACCATTGAAGGGCCGAAGCGGTGCTGTTGCTAATGACGTTTAGTTTTTCTTCAGGCAGTTACAAGGACACCTACACTGGTGCATTCAAGGGCTCATGTGGAATGTGGGAGCCCCCAGCATCCTGCAAAAAAAATGTACACGTACCTTGTTTAAGTTTAATTTTTAAACTTTGACCAACTGAAAGGATAGATTCATATTTTTGTCACAAACAATGTCCAGGCACATACATTGCAACAGCATTGTATTGTAGCGTAGGTTTTACTCTCAAATATCCAAAGTAGGAGTTGGGCACTAGACGGGAGAATAATAACACTTCTACCTTGTCAATTTAGGAAAATGTTACTTTGAACTGTTGGAGAGATAACCTTAACCGAAATGCATCATAAGCGAAACCCAAACAATTAATCAAGTTGTATCATTTAAGTCAGGTGTATTTTGAACAAACATCAGGAATCAAATCAAAAGCGTTTGGTTCATACTCAAATACAGTCTTAAACACAACATGTCCATTAAATCAAAAGAAACACAATTACTGAGTCCAGTTATGAAAATCAAATGTCCGAGTAATTAAAATGAAATGAGGACTCCAGATAAATGTCAATCTTTACTGTTTAAGAGATGTGGCGTGAGTGCTTCTGTGAGAGGTTTCAGACAGATAACAAACAAGCCTAAAGCCCCCCACTCCATGAATAACCTCCGCCTGGAGTTTTACTGTCGCTTTGATAGACAATGGAACTGATCCCACCCAACATGACCCATTCCACCAGCTCCAGACCACCAGGTCCCCCTCTCCCAGCTCAGCAGGGGCCCATGCCTCTCAACCACCCATCCCAGTGCCTCCATCATCATCCCCATCCCCAAAAAAACAAGGATCACAGGACTTGACGACTACAGGTCCATCGCCCTGACCTCTGGCTATGAAGTCTTTTGAGCGCCTTGTTCTGTCCCACCTCAAAACCCTCACCTACCCTCTCCTGGACCCCCTGCAGTTTGCCTACAGAGCCAACAGGTCTGTAGACAATACAGTCAACATGACCCTTCACTTCATCCTCCATTATCTGGATGACATTTGCGGATGACACCACCCTCATTGGACTCATCTCTGGTGGGGATGAGTCCGCCTACAGGTGGGAGAGATTGACCATCTGGTGACCTGGTGCAGTCTGAACAACTTAGAGCTCAACGCTCTAATGACAGTGGAGATGGTTGTGGATTTCTGCAAGAATGCAGCCCCACCTGCCCCTATCACCCTGTGTGACTCCCCCGTCGACACGGTGGAGTCCTTCCGCTTCCTGGGCTCCATCATAACCCAGGACCTCAAGTGGGAGCTTAACATCAGCTCCATCACTAGGAAGGCTCAGCAGAGGATGTACTTCCCGAGGCAGCTGAAAAAGTTCAACCTGCCAAAGACAATGATGGTGCACTTCTACACTGCCATCATTGAGTCCATCCTCTGCTCCTCCATCACGGTCTGGTACGCTGCAGCCACAGCCAAGGACAAGGGCAGGCTGCAGCGCATCATTCGCTCTGCCGAGAGGGTGATTGGCTGCAATCTGCCATCCCTCCAAGACTTGTTCGCTTCCAGTATCCTTAAGCGAGCAAGAAAGATTGTAGCCGACCCTTCTCACCCTGGACATAAAATGTTCGAGTCCCTTCCCTCTGGCAGGAAGCTGCGGTCCATCAGGACCAAGACCTCACACCATAAGAACAGTTTCTTCCCTTCTGCAGTTGGATTTATCAACAAAGCCCGGGACCCCCACTGACTCTGACTGCTAAACTCACAGGACAATTTCCTACTGTTACACACCCTTGCACATCCTTTCTATATTAAAATACACTTGCCACTTTACTAATACACTTGTTTTTAATGTACTGTTATCTGTTTGTTCGTTTATCATATGTTATTGTAAATGTTAATATTTTTCTATTTTTAAATTAGAAAAATGTTCATTGTTTGTTGTTTTGCACCATTCACCAAGTCAAATTCCTTGTCTGTGTAATGTACTTGGCAATAAACAGTTCAGATTCTGATTCTGGAAAATTCATCGTTGATGTAATTTCAAGATTTTACGCTGACCGATAGTTAAGACAACATAATAATGTAAAATAATAAACACAATAATAGTTATCCACACATTGATTTTAATGTATTCAGTAATGTATGAAGCCAAATGTAAAATACTGTTAGTCATTGATTATTTTGCAACTCTTGAATAACCTTTTTATGATCCGAATTCAAATTATCCGAGGCAAGTATTTTGGTTACCACCAGAGGGCACAAGAGAGCTGAGACACGATTTGTACCTGACTAAATGCGAAAGCCAAAAAAGCACAATAAAGGATGTAAACTAAAGCACAATAACAATATTCCAAGAGATGACACTTTTTCTATTTTAATTACAGATCACAGATATGGAGGATAGAGGTCTCAGTGAGATCAGTGGCAGCAAGTTTCAGATAAGGACTCAAAAAGATGCAGTTGAAGGATCGACTGCCAAGAAGCACACTGGCCTTGACATCTGGGTGAGGAGCACAGAGGCCAGATAGAGAACAGCGAGAGCCAGGTGGAGCTGAGCTGATCACTAAAATACACATGAAGCAGCTGCAGGGAGAGAGACACATCTGGTAGGGACTGATTACTTGTCTTGTGGATCCTTAATATTGATGGTCTTGAGAAACTTGAGGTGTGTCAGTGCACTATTGTACTCATTTTAATCTCTGGATAAATCCTTTAATAAGGTAATGTGGTATCAATTGGGTGTAGGCAAATACATGAAAAAGACAACAACAATATGTTTCATTGGGTTGTAAAATGTGTGATAACAAACAGTTTTAGAAGTCCATATTATTTTAAATCACTCACACGCGACACACACAAATCAACCCGCTTCTCTTGTCCAGCCCAAAGCACAGCATTGCCGGCAAGAGCAAAAAAAGTAAACAGAATAAACTTAATATAGATATCCTAAATCAAACATCTGAACCATACAAATTATACAAAATGTACTGTACAGACAGATTGGATGTTTACCTTATGAGTGCATCAGAAGATGATAAATTATTCAAGAATATATATATATATATATATATATATATAACTAGTTTGTATTATCATCATTGCTCTTTTTATATATGAGATTAGATACTGCAAGAAAGATGTTGAAGTGCAATAAAAGTGCTAAAATCGTTGGAGTTTGAAGTTTTTATGAGCATGAAAATAATCCTTATCGGTGTAAAGTGTTCAGTGTCCAACACTAAGAGAGGACTGGTGGAAGTGGGAGGTAATTCAGTGCATTCAGTAATGCCCATTATTGGTATGAGTCTACTGATGAAGGCTTTAATCCAGACAGGCATGAAGGTGCATGTCAGTCCCACCATGGCGGAAGTATTCACAACCTTAAGCCAAACCACACCCAAAAATACTCCCATTACTGTGCAGGAAAAAGTCCTACATTGAAAATATGTGATGTATGTAAACTGCTACATAATTATCATTAGCCTACTGATGCACATTAGTTGCTGTTAGATCATATGGAAAGAAACTAGAACTGTCAAATCACATGGTTTCCCTCTGAGTTGTAGTGGTACAAACACCTACCTAATTGTAGGTGAACGCATGTTATGTTAGTGACAAATTCGATGGTTTTTAACACTTCTATGGTTTAGTTATGGTATTTGCAATATGTTAACATTTGCAAAGGTTAAAAACTGTGCGTAATTTCACTAAAAAAACCGCACAAACATGATAAATACATTCACTTTTTACAGTTCTGTAAATGTAAATATGAATGGACGTCATCATCCGCGTGGAAACAGACAGAGGGACTTTGGTTGTGTTCCAGTTCACATTTCCTCGCCTCCAGTCAGTGGGTCGTGTTCATTATCCTTCCGCCCTGCGCGGCTCTGAATTAATCCACCCAGTCTGGAACTAGACCCGCCTCTGACGCTCGCGTGTCGCGGGGGAGGAGCCAGGCAGCAGCGACACTACTGACACGTACGAATCCTGCGTAAGATTTAAGGAGGAAGTTACATATTTTCCTTAAATTGAACGTCGATACGGCTTCTTCGACTCAGACTTGATGTAGTTGACCTGTCCCGGGACCCAGAGGCCTGTTTGGACGCGTTTTGGAAGCGACGCGCGGACTGTCGGGACAGAGGAGCCGAAGCAACAAGATGAGATTCTCAGGGTTTATTTCTGTCCTGCGCTCGGTCGGCCCGGTAGTGATTGGTATTTCTTTAGGGTTCACGTTGAGTTTACTGAGTGTAAACTGGACGGAAGAAGCGTGTTACCTAGACGCTAAGGAGGGTGAGGATGTGACTGTGGGTCATGACGCGCAGCTCAAAGGAGCCCGAAAGCCCAACTCTATCTCGACTGTCAACGATGTGGAGTCCGAAGAGGATTTTGAGCCAAGAATAGTCCCGTATAAACAAGTCCAACAGAGTCCCCCAAAGAAAGTGTTCAGGTAAGCTTTGGATGGACTTTAACTTAAACTGGTGAACACAGTAATTAGGCTTATAATATATGGCGTACACTTGTTTTGAAACACATTATTAGAGGCTAACGTTTGCAGCACAGCAGGCCATAGTTCATCCTCAAGAGATGACAAAACCAATCATTTTGTTTACATATTAATAGGTGTCCCTGGTTGTCATATTGTACACTGACAACATGATGAGTTAGACTAATAATGCAAAACCAAATGGCAGATATAATATGTATAATTCTGCAGTATTTTTATCCTTCTCCCTGATGTCACTGGTCTTGATCAAATTGGCACAGAGAGTCTGATGGATTAAGTTCACAGCCCCACCTCATCTGTGGGTTTCTAACTGCCAACATTCCCTGCCACAGAGCTGATGGTATCTACATTTTGGGACCATGCCTCCCTGCTGAATGAGTTATCCCTCACATTTTCTTTGTAAACAGGCAGACATTTCCCAGATTTTCTGGATAGAGACCCTTGTTTGAATGTTCGCTCTCTCACCCGAAGTGGTTGCATTGCATTGCAATTCTGAGAAAAGAGACTTTTCCCCTGTGGAGAAGTTCTGCTGAGGCTATTTTAAGCATTTCAGCACACATGTTTTCATGGGCAACCAGTGCCATGAAGGGGATTGTAATATAAAAGGTAGAGCAACTATCGATTTAGATTGTTTGCTCAATTAATTAGTCAATCGTTTAGTTTCAAAAAGTGGCGAAAAAATGCTCATCACAAATACCCAAGGCCAGGTCAGGCCGGTACTTTCCAGCCAACTCTCAATAACCACAGTGATGAATCACATTTCCAGTCCGTGCATGTTTCCTTGTCAGAGAGCCGATGGTTTTTCTTGTTTGTCTGTGTGTCGATATTTAAAAACACTGGGCAAAAACCACAGATTTAGTTCGGATCAAAAATGTCGTTTTTTTTTTTTTTTGTTTTTTTTGAACTACTTTTTTCAGTCGTTATTATTCCAGTTATAGTAAGAAAATAGTCAAGATAGCACATTTTGGTGTGACCGTAAGATGAAGAATTGTTCAGCGTTGGTGTATTTTTAATTCAAATACATATTTAGCATTTATTCAGTCGATGTTTGGTGTCTTTTCCAGGGCTAAATACATAAGCACAGAGCTGGGGATGCGAGAGCGTCTGTTCGTCGGGGTCCTGACATCCAGAAGCACCATAAACACTCTTGGCGTAGCTGTCAATCGCACCATCAGCCACCACCTGGACACTGTGATATTCTTCACCGGCATGCGCAACCGCAAAGTCCCTCACGGCATGTTCGTCGTCTCTCACGGAGACGAGAGGCTGGTCTGGAACATGTTTCAGAATATCAAATACATCTTGGACCATTACATCAATGAATACGACTGGTTTTACTTTGTCCAAGATGACGCCTACACGGAAGCGGACCGGATCAAAGCCCTGGTGGATCACCTGAGTACGGATCGAGAGCTTTACATGGGCAGTCCTGAGGAGTTCATAGGTGGAGAGATGGAAGGGAAGTACTGCTACGGAGGGTTCGGGTACATCCTGTCTCGTACCTTGCTCCTCCGACTCCAGCCCTACCTGGAAAACTGTCGGAACGACATCCTGAGCGCGAGGCCCGACGAGTGGCTCGGAAGATGCATCATTGACTACACGAACACAAACTGCGTCAGTGAAAATCAGGTAGGTTGAGTCTAATCTTATCCGGGCACACTGCACTCATTCAACACCATCTCTCTGTTCAATAATGCATGTGTTTTTTAAAATCCATAAAACAGCCTTGTCTTCTTAATGTTTGATGTTGAAAGGGAGCAGAACGAGGCAGCTCGTAGTTAAAATGAATGACGAGCGACGGAGGGAAAAGATGCTCAGGCTGTCACTTTAGTCGTGAGACGGGCTACAGCAGGGGTTCTCCTTCTCCAAAGAAACACAAAACTGTCACGGCAGAAATCCTGCTTGGCCTGCTTCTAGCACAGAGGCGGTATTTATATTACAGAGTAGATTGCTAATACCCTTTAGCCTTCGCTCCACAGCTCCAGCAGCAACGTGGAATAGGTAAACAGGCGAGCAGAGCGCCGCTCGGTTCAGTCTTGCTTAGGTTCAATGGTGTGAAAATCCCCTGTGGGTCAACATGCTCCGCTCCTGTAATGTCATTAGCATTTAAGGTCAAACAAGCTCTGTGGAGACCTGATCCGTCCCGGTGCCCTTTCAGGCGATTGTTTGTTGCATGCAGCACAGTCTGCTGTATCCATGCTGAAGTGTGTGTGGTCTATGTCAACGTTTTCAAATATATTGTTCGAAGGTCATCAACATAAAAGTGTGATTTTTACAATATACATGCGGCCAGTATAGTTGTAGTTGAGTTATTCCACTGTCTTTACCTTCTATTTTCTCCCCACTTGGCCACGACACGGTGCTGGAAACCATCTTGTTACGCAGTTGAGAGTGAGTTGCATGGCTAACTAAAGGGCCCTGAGCCAGAAGAGCTCCAGCAGAGACCCCTACATGAGGGAGGGGAGCAGGGGGGGGGGGGGGGGAAGGTAAAGACGGTGGGGGGGGGGGGGGGGATTTAAAAGGGCCTGGTGCGGGTGAAGAGTACAGCTTGAACACAGAGCCAGACATCAATTTTTCTGTTAAGAGAGCACATTGATGACAATTGGGCACGGATAACGCTTCACTAAGTGTACCACTACAGGCTGTTGGCAAACATTTACAACAGGGTGGCCTCGCTGCTCAGTTAAGCTGTGTCTCCATTCTTTGTTCTTTCAATAGCTTGATCAGATTGGATTCACTTTTTTTTTTTAATCACTCAAGCTCCTTAGGTGACTACTCTGTTTTCGGCTTAAGTGACTGTGTCTTTTAAGTGGGATTCTGGTGCCAGTGCCAGTCATTTGCTGCTAAGTTTCAACCTTAAATTCTTAACCGTTGCTTTTTAACCTGATGCTCCAGAGATTGTATTTTACTATGAATAAAAAAAAAAAAGTAGCAAAATTAAGATGGGATAAAGCATCTGTTAAACCTCATGTTCCCAAAACGGAAGTAATCCCTGAAAGGATCAAAACTCTTTGATGATAGAAAGTTTTTGTACAACAGTAGTATTCAATTCTTACAAAATGATCTCTGTCTTCCCTTCCTTATGCAATTATGGTTGAAACCATTCTGTTTGCAGTGGAGTTTAGCCCAAGACGCTGTCTAGATAGCTTGTGATGTTTGTTTGAATGAAAGTAGCACAGCGTAACAACTAAACAACTATGCTCGGAAAAAACATGAAGCAATGTTTCTGTCATCCAGGATTTAAGATGCCTCATGAAAAGACCTCTCTGTTTCCTCTCAGGGACTTCAGTACAACCATTATGAGTTGGGAAAAAACTCTGATCCGAGTAAAGAACAAAGTGAACAGCTGAAGAAAGCGCTGACTGTCCATCCAGTGTCTGACCCTGAACAGATGTACAAGCTGCACAGGTACTTCACTGAGATTGAACTCCAGAAGACTTACGATGAGATTGCTGAACTGCAGGTAAGCTGCTTTTCAAGTGTCACAAATCACCTGTGGTTCAGTCAAAAATAAAAACCTGGCTTCTCACTGCTTCCAACTGTCGAGATCTGACCGATTTCTTGTGTTTCCACAGGCAGAAATAAAAAACGTGAGCGTGGTCGCGTTTGACGGCAACCGAAGCGCCCAATGGCCCGTTGGGATCAATCCTCCTTTTGAACCCAAATCTCGGTTTGAAGTTCTGAAGTGGGAATACTTTACAGAAGAGGAGATTTATTCATGCGTCGATGGCTCTCCAAAGTGTGAACTGCAGGGTATTGACCGCATGGACGTGGCGGACGTCATTGAGGTGGCCATGGTAGAGCTGAACAAGAAGTACAAGCCTGTCCTCCACCTGAAGAAGCAGCAGCTGATTAACGGGTACAGGCGCTTCGACCCCGTCAGGGGCATGGAGTACACCTTGGATCTTCAGCTGGAGGCTGTGAACCAAAAAGGTCACAGCCGGTCAATCACCAAGCGAGTTCACCTGGTGCGACCTCTGAGTCGGATTGAGATCATCCCCATGCCTTATGTCACCGAAGCGACTAGGATTCACATCATTATACCTCTGACTCTGCAGGACCGAAGCTATGTTGACCATTTCCTCGAAGTCTTTGCCTCGAATGCCTTTGAGACCAGTGAAAATGCCATCTTAACGTTCTTGTTTATTTATGACCCAGTGGAGGCACAGCAGGTGAACCAGAATGATATATTTGCCGGTGTGAAGGCACAGATAAACACGTACGAACGCAAATACCCAACGGTAAAAATCCCGTGGATAAGTGTCAAGACGGAAGTGCCATCTCAGATCAAATTCATGGACATCATCTCGAAGAAGCACCCGGTTGACTCGCTGTTCTTCTTGGCCAACGTCAACTCAAATGTCAATTCGGAATTTCTGAACCGCTGCCGCATGAATTCCATAAACAACTGGCAGGTGTTCTTCCCCATTCACTTCCAGGACTTCAACCCTGACGTGGCCTATCCCAACCAGCAGCATCCCGCCACAGTCGATCTGATCAAGGACGCGGGCCATTTCGACCCCAGGTCATTTGAAGAAGCGTGTTTTTACAACTCTGACTACATGACGACACGCACTCGAATGGTGGCAGACGTCCAAGAGAATGAGGAGATTCTAGAGACCCTGGACATCTTCAACATGTTCTTAAAGTTTTCGGGCCTGCACGTATTCAGGGCGGTGGAGCCGGCGTTGCACCAGCAGTACAGCTACCAAGCCTGCAACCCGCGGCTAAGTGAAGACATCTACCACAGATGTGTGCAGAGCAACTTGGAAGGTCTGGGTTCTCGCTCCCAGCTCGCCATGCTGCTGTTTGAGCAAGAACAAGGAAACAGCACCTGAGAACACCAGAGAACTCCTGCTCGTCTTTAAATGGCAGTTAAAAGCTGTGTGTTTATTGTACTAGAGTTTGGGACAACCCGTGTCTGGGGGAAGTATCTCAGTGTGACTCAAAGATCGTCTGGGTTGTTCAGAGTTTTTAGCTAGTTTGGAAAAAAAATGAATGCAGTACATTCCCAATGAAACCTCTCCATAAATGTTTACAATACTTGTTGGTACAGATGAGTTGCTTGAACCAAATGTTTTCGCTACTCTGATGATTCTGAAAGCGACGTTAAGTAATCTCTGACTACTTGGTGGCAGAAACTCCCAGCAGCAGAGCCTGGACTTAGTGCTGGCTTATCCAGTTATGTTTTAAGGTGTCAACTACACATCCAGCAGACACACGGCTGCATAGCATGAGAGGTACGAGCAGCAACGCGTTCACATATCGAGAATTAATGTTAATATCAAAGATATTGTTTAATGAATGTATAGCTCTTGTGGGTATACAATAGAATGTTGCACCAAAGGTTGTGTGCTTTTGATATTTACTAATTTGAGTTTTTACAAAAGCGCATCTTTACTGTATGTGCCTTGACACTGACTTGTCATATGCTGACTGTTTTTAAATGATCTTTATGTTTTGCAGTTCACCCCTTCAGGTGATGCACATTTTTCATTCGTACCTAAAAGATGAATAATAGTTCTGAACAGGTGGGAGGTATCAGCTTTCACTGTGGATAAAGTAATGTTACACAGCTGGGAGAACTGAATGGGTAGTCGGTCAACCTACAATTTTATTTAAAGGTGTCTCGGAAATATCAAGATCCCGACCATCCGCAGGTTGTGTACGTGCCTCAAAGCAGGGAGGGACTTGGTCGAGAGTGTCTTCAGAGGTCATAGATGCAGACTAGTGTATTCCAGCAGTCTGCACACGACTTCAAGTTTTCTCCATGAAACCTTTTGATGTTGCAAGAAAATTCACATGCAGGGAGACAAAGGAGAATTTATGAATAATGGGGGGAAAGAAATCACCTTGGTAAATGTCTGCAGTGATTGCCCGGGTGAGTCCTCATAAAACAGGATTTAATTAGTTTAGAAATGATGGAAATTTAAGAATGTATGAAACATCAAGAATAGCAGGCGGTTTTAATACTAAGATGTTTAAATGTTCCAAAGTATTTTTGGGGACTGTATTGCTAAAGTTTTTGTAAGTTATTGAATGGTGAGCTCAGCTTTAGAAATGGTGGCTTAACCCAGTTGCAGTGCAGTCCAATGGGAGGCCTTTTTCTACTTTACTGAGTGGTGGCGGTAGCTGTACTGGACACAAGAAAGATGTTAGTATGTTTATAATGTGCAATATTACAGATAACACAACTGTCTTGATGTCTGATGGAGGGCAAAGACATTTGCTGTAAGTAGAGCAGTGCGTTTACCACAATACTGTTCACGACATTACATAAAGTTAGACTGCTTTCCGTTCAATGTTAAGTAAATACACTGTAATTGACAAGACCTTTTAATGTATTTTACTGACACTAGACACTTTTCATCAAATTTACTTTGAAATACGTCAAATTAAGGCATTTTATTTAACTTTAATTGAATGCAAACTTACTTATTGGAAGTGGTGATCCTCGACACCGTTTGCTGTATTTTCTGCCATGTGACCAAAGACCACGGAGGTCATTTCTTTTATAACGCATCTCTTTCTTGACGAGAGCAGAACGAGTACGACACTAATGCTGTGCGCAAATTGGAAACTGAATCTTCCAAAAACCACTGTGAAAGATGAAGGGCTTAGATTACAATATGAAGTTATTGTGGTTGATCTGCGTCGTGTCTGCCTTCTGTGGACGTGGCAGATTAATCACCTTGTGTTGTTAAAACAGCCACCGTCGAGGGGCACGTCTCAAGTATTTTGTTCATAACTTTTTCATTTGTCATTTCTCTATGAATTATGCAGATTCTGAAGACTTCCGCACTAACAGAGGCTTTCATGACATTCTCTGTATATAAATATTTTATAGATTCTATTTTTAAGCCTTTTGTAGCTTTATGTACACAAGCAATTGATACTTTATTTTTGGTGACAAACATATACTGTATCCTAATTTGTGCTTTGAAAATCATGTCATTTGACCATGAATTTAATAATATGCTTTTGTTACACTCCCTTTCAATCAAGTAAATTATTTTTTAAAAAAGCGGGCAAATACATCGATTTTGTTTTTTTTTCCGATTTCCATTGATGTTTGGATTGGTTTACATTATTTTATGCATATCGGTACGAGTATAACCAAAGCAATACGTTTTAATTAGTACTCATCACATTTAATTGTGTGCTGTAATTTCTAATGAACTGTGAATTATTGTAATTTTTAAATAAAGGGTATTTGAATATACACATTTCCTCTTTTTCTTGCGTTTATTTTATTTTTTGGAGGGGGAAAATAGTATTCATAAGTGCAGTTTGTCCTTTAGGTGTCAGCAAAAGAGCGCGTTTACTGTCGGCAGCACAGGTCCTCGACCAGGACTGGCTGCCAGTCGCTGAGGTGAGCAGCGTTACTGAACAACATTTAGAGATTTCTAACACAAACACGATTGCTTTTCTCATTCATGTTCACAGTGTGTGCTCAGTAGGACTGCAGTGAACATTCTTGCCCATGTCAGAAATGAGGTATTCCTGATGTCTGGGTTGGGTAAAAACGGGAAAATTTTGCAACCTTAATAACAGCTTTAGTTATTTCAAGGGTCCGTATGCACTACCCTGAGGCATGCTGTAAAACCACATAACTACAGAGCAGCTGGGAGTTAATTGTAAGTCATTATTTTGTACTTCGTTTTACGTTCGATCCCAGGACTTTCTCCTCCCACATGGGGACACGGTGGTTTCAAGTCCCCTAGAAACAAGAAGTTTTCCGTTTTCACAACAATTTGGGTTCCCCTGGAGGGTATTTTAAGAAGCAGAATTACACAAATTGCTAGACATTAAGAAGAATGATCAAGGAAACGCATCACTTATCTGAACTAGACAATTACACTTTTTCAAAGGCGTCCCATATCCCCCCCCCCCAAAAGAAACCTACCACTGAAATGCCTTCAATCTTTTTGTAACCTTGTATTTCTTTTCATAGCAATGGTGGAAAGGCTTTAAAGTGAGTGGTAAAATTGAAATGCATGTCGAGTGTGTGAAGAATAAATACACAATGTGAAATTGAATTGGGCTTTGGATTTAGGAGGCACTGGTTTTACCAATCTAAACTTTAATAGTTATCGTATTTACCATATTTAACATTTATAAAATGTGTTTTAACAGAGGAAATAATCACAAGATCACAAATCTGTACAAAATGTAAGCGTTCCTTGTTCCTGCAGTGACGGTACATTTCCTTGTCTGTCAGATGTGTGATGGAATTCCTTCTTAGGAAAGGTTTTTCTGAGAAGGAATTCCTGACGGCTGCTTGTGTCACCCTGCACTCATATTTTTTTTCTCTACTCGGATGACCTCTCAGACCTCAGCCAAAAAACAAACGGCTGAAAAAGGAGGACAGATCTTCAAAAATGAACATTGGTGGCTGGTCGGATTAAATCGTTTCTTTTTTACAGATAATGCAATAAGCACAAATGGCACTACATGTGACTGAATGTCATGGAGCTATAAAAAGATAGACCCATAGAGATGTGCAAGAAGGGAGCTAAGAGTAGAGGCTTGAGGAATCCCAGGAATGTGAGCTACATGTCAGCAGGAAGGTTGTCCCACAGTACAGACTTGCTACAGTACAGACTTGCAGCCCACCACTCAGTCCCGTGGCACCTCACGCGTACGGCATGCTGATGTAAAATCAACCATTTGTAATTGATTTATCTGTGTTTTTAAATGCTTTTGTGATCCAAATGAATCGGGTTGTGTTTTAAAGTGCGCAGCGTCTCGAGGATCGAAAACCTTTCTACATCAACTCCAGGCTCGACCGTTCAAACACAACTCTACAGCGATAAGCTGCCCAGTATTCATCTCAACACACCAGCCCCAGTGTGACTTGTCTGAGGATAGCTACAATTATTGATGACAGAGGAGAAGATTGTTATGCATAGCCTGTACAGGATGCCATCAGAGACCGTGATTGGGAACCTTTTGAAAATGTCAAAGTGACACATGATTATGAATATTAAACAGCCATGTATAGCCCATGATTACTTGACAGGAGGAGGGGAGTTGACAGATGGAGGACTGTGGAATCTCATTGTGAGTTAAAGTGATGAATGGAGATATTGCGGCAACAGAATGCACCGATCAAATTAACAGAAAAGTTATGTTGTCATTTGTAAACATGATATCCTCTAATGTGAAGTATTTCATACATTCCCCAGACAAATGTTAGGAATTGCGTGCAGATGGGATTGTCAAAGGCCTATCAAAATTTAGGGGGCATTAAGCTGGCTTGATTTTGTGCAGTTTAGGGTTGGGCTTTAAAATTTAGCCCGACAAAATGTGTTGACAATTAGCAACAAAAAAGGTTGTGATGTTTTGAAGCCCAAACTGCTGCATGCTGGCAAATAAGTTGCTGCCATGCTATGCTATGTAGTTCAAATTTATTGTACCCTAGCATTGCCAAATACATTAGTTGATGATGGGGCAACATCAGACGTATTTATTCAATGAAGACAAATAAGAAAGTACAATATAGTGTGCCTGTACTGTAAGTAATATTAGATTGAAGCCCGTTGATAAAAGAAAGAGGGTGAGAAAAGAAGGAAATAAATTGGGCCGAGTTAACTCTTTCTACTGACAAAGAAAGGTGTCAAGTTATGCCAAATTGTCTAGAGTACCTAGTTTGTCAATCTAGTCCTAGAAAGTCAGTACTAGCCTGCAGTTATTTAGACCATCTAAAGTCGTCAGCAACTGTGCCCTATAAATGTGCAAGAAAATGAATACCCTAACTGCTTCCTCTGTTGTTGTCTGTCCCACTTATGTGACAGTATAGTTGGGACCGTTGCTGCCTTTTTAACAGTGCGAATCTCAAACGTCTCAATTTATAGAGTGACACAAGAAGAAGCTCACAAATTCTTAAAAGACAAGATTATGGGAAGTCAGGGTTACAGGTTCTTAAAGTTCCTGCAGTGCATAAGGGCAAATGAGCGAGCCGACTTTCCGTGATAACGACAAACATGATTATGAGTGAATCAATGTGAAAGTCTCCATTTTTATATTTCATTCCCACTTTGCTAACTTGTGCTCTTAAAAAATATTGTGTCTTTGTCCCGTCCATTGAGGATTAAGTTACCCACTGAGAATATTTCAACTCTGGCTGTCCTAACTCTACATTTATTAGATTACAACCTTACTACTGCAATAAAACTCTACGCCTTTTTTTTTGCTAACTATGTCGATTTTCAAACATTCCTTTTTTTTCCACCAGAGTCGCATCAGCCTGATGTGCTCAGTCATGTGTGCAAAATGTTAAAGTGCACATGCAAACAAACAAACAAACAAACAAACACACACACATTGATGCCGGGTCTACACTGTAAATTGCTGCTACACTTTTACAGAGGGCCCACAAGCTGAAGGAGATGACTCGGCAAAAAATAAAATTCTGTTTCTTATTGCTTATGTCAGCTCAAAGTTATGATGCTAACCAGAGTGGAGAGTGGATGGTGGGCAGAAATGAATTGAATAAGAAGAAACATCTAAGTACAACCATTTCATAACTGAAGACATCATCCACTCCTCATCCAGGATCTGTGTGTCGTCTTGGTAAAAGCAGGACACATAAAAGAAAAGATGGAGATAATAGTCACGATGCATACAGTCCGTTTTTGTTACCTGGACAAATGTATTAATGTTTGGCAGTCTAACATATCTGCAGATTGTAAGTGTAAGTATTTGCTACAATCATGACCGCTATTGTCATATAAAAGTCTTCCCTAAAATGTATAAATAACTCAAATTAATATTTCATAAGTTATATATTAACTGAATATAAACGACAACCATTGAAACAGAACTTTAGAACTTTCTCATTTTAAAGTTGGACTTTATGTACAGGTACAATGCTACTCTCTAACACCTTTAACCACAAACCAGACAAAGTGTATCATGTGGAAAGATGCTGCTAGATCTAAAGCCAAGGTCTACAGTTCAGCCTAAATAATTCCCCTCATATTTTGGATGGATGTTACATGAGTAAGATTTGCTTTCTGTAAGTATGCTCACCTTGTATACAATATAGAACATATAGATAATAGTACCTCTTTAAATAATTACATAATTTAGAAAGTGTAATGGCTTTATATGGTACAGTGTGTTTTCCGTGACGTAGGGGGAGCAGTTGGAGGGATAAATGGAGAGACAGAAAGAAATCAGAGACGCTAGCAGAATAAATAAATCATTAGGAGTATAAACACGGTCAAGGTGAAATACAGTCCTCTTGTCCCATTGTTGTGATCATGTACCAAAAATTGGCCCTGATGCACAAAGTTGAGAGGTGTCCCATCCAGAGAAAACAAAAAAGCGGTGTCCAATTTGTGCCTACATACGTACAAGTGCTTTGTTAGCAGCACAAGTTTGGTGTTTGACTTTGGCTGTAGCTTTTCACTGGTGACAGCAAAGGAGCGACGGAAATGCCGTTATTATGGGTCCGTTATTGATCTGAACACGGACGGTTTTCATCTTTTGGTGTCACCAGGACTGGAAATGACGGTTGGCTCTAGCAAGCGAAGTCCTCAAATACCCCGTGGTGGTGATGGGGGTGTGGGATAGGGTGGTGGTGGTTGGGGAGGATCGTGTTGGCGTACGCCCCCTCTGGGTGACTCCGTGTCATGTCATTCGGCTCCTGCTGATGGCACAGCAAACAACGGCAACTTCAACGTCATGCTTCAAAGATCATATGTGACGTAAATGATAATGTACAGTGAAATTACATCGATCCGGAATAATCTCTTGACAAGGTCAATCAAAATCCCGACACTAATGAATAACTTTGATCATGCTGCAGATTCAATACTTTTACATTGGAATTTAAAGTAAAAGTTCAACATTTTGGGAAAGGCTTATTCACTTTATACAAGAGAATCTCATATAGACAATCTCAACTCTTATCTGTGTGCTAAGTACACAGCTGAAGTTAGGAAATAGTTTTGTGACAACAATAGATTATCCAGTATTTCTGTGCAGCGTCTCTAGCTATATATTTACATACTGGGGTCTTCTGTGCATATTCTAAAACTAATTTGGCGTCTACTGTACATCTCCACTGGAAAGTAAAACGTGATGTTGGCTATCCACACCAGACAAACCCAATCAAAGCTGCAAATGTTGATTGGTAACACAATCTATTGTCTTTTCGGTTTCTCTGGCAGCCTGGTTTAAAAGTGAAAACCCTGTTTTAGTTTTAGAAGGTTGCGTGGAATTAAGACACAGTTGTGGTTAAATGTAAGTCTATTGTTCAGATATAAGCAGAATGAAGTTGTGCAATAACAAATCCAAGCTCCAGGGGAGGATGTGCTTTGCACTGTGGTTAAGACTAATTAGGAACAATATATTCTTCATTATTTTAGAAGTGAAGAAATGTGATTTTGTTTCTCCCTGAATTATTCCCTTGTAGTTTCCTAATGCAGTTACAGTGCTGCGGGGCAAGTTGTGAACTCGGCGCGAAAACAGCTATTTGTTAGTGTGCAGTACGTGCTGTACCTTTGCTTTTATTTCCTCTAGACCCACTGTTGCAACAGTGCTGGTCTGCTGCTTGTTCTTGTTCTTCTTCTCCTCTTTCTTCGGCCTCAGCAGATGCTGTAGCCGGTGCTTGATCATCTGGTTTCACCCATAGCACAGCAGCAGGGAGGGTGGAAGAGCAGAGATGAGCGAGGGAGACAAAAGACAAAGCAGAGTTAGGAGTTTGTTCACTGCGATGTCTGCATTACAGTCCCTCCCTCGGATTTTGCTTTATTTATATATGTTTGGTAGTCAGCAGGTAGCTAGTAAGCTTAGAGGGGATATATCAGCGGAGACAGCTGTTGTTAGTGGCATGTCTTCAGCACAGACCAGAGCGGATACTGCTGCAGTTTCTCCAGCCTGGAAATACAATAAAACTCCTTATGTGCATAATTAGTGATAAGATTTACACTGCCAGTCCCGAGATTGCCTGATGACTCACACAAATAAAATCAAAATAATTTGTCAATATGGAAAAATAAACAACAAATGCTCTAATGTCTCTTCAATAGTTACAATAGTCTGTAACATATTTATTGCTGAGGACAATAGCCATACATTTTGGTTAATTACATCACAGCTGGTTCTGGTCTCACATTGTGATTGGCTGATGTTTGTTGGCGTGCACAGGCACCATACCTCATAGATATAATCCAGTATTTCTAAGACTGTCAGGATGCTGGCTCCAATGAATAAGCCCATCTGTCCACCAATGTCACCTGAAAAGAAAGAGCACTTAAGGAGAAGCACATTGGATATAATGCCAAAGTAGTTTCTGTTTGCTACTAATGTTGATGAAAAGTAAGTGCAGCCACAGCACCGTTCACTCTGCACCTGCAAGTCTATCTAAATATTCAGGAAAGACAGAAAGAAGTGACGGAGATCTTACCTAATAAACCTGCAACATCGTAGGCTTTCTTTTGCTCAATTGTTTCATAGTTGAGAGCTTCAAAGAAGATATCTAAGACCAGGAAGTTGTCTCTGGAAAAAGAAGTGGAGTGTGGATGTCAAACACAGTGAAATACACTCGCACTGTTTTTTTTTTATAATTCACAACAAATCTAACATCATTTGAAAAATACCATTCCCAGTCATCTTTATGCTCACTGTAAATTGTCATGATGGGACTGTCAGGCCTACAGGGCTTCACGCAGATCTAACCAGTGACTGTGAGATAATGAGGTGTTGCAGGGTTTAACTGAGATGAGGAGAACGAACACCGACAGCATGCTCAGTCACTGCCACGTTTCTGATCTCTCTGGATTTACAAAGTCTGGTAATAAGTGTTGTGAGGCATCATGAGCTCTTTGGTTCGGGCATGTTTACCTTTTACCACATCCCACAGTGTAAACACATTTTAAATTCATTATTGATTATAATCTCAATATTAGTAAATGTTCCATAAAACATGTAGAACAGGATTAAAAATGTTAGCCCTGTCAATGGTCACTGGATCTTCCTCCTATATTCTTTCTATATATATCTCCTCGTTTTTTTTCTCCTTTGATTTTTGTTCTGCTTCATACCTACCCTATTTAAATATTGTTTGTAATGTATTTCACGATGACCCTGATGAAAGCCAAAACAAGTTGGTCCTACAATAAAGTTGTTCTTTACACTACAAGTGTTGCAGGAGTTTTGACCTCTTCCGATTTAATCCCTTCTCCATTCACCGTGGAAGTAGGTGAAGATTTCCCAGTAACACCCAATCTACGTCTACAGAATGGCAATCAATACTAGCTACGCATGAGATATCTTTTCTGCAATTTTTGGTGTCAAAAAGTGTAAGTTTTACCTCTAAGGATAATTTATTGTTTATCTAATTTCACAAAGATCTTCTCAACTTTAGAGTTTTTTTTACCCCAAAAGTAGTGCTGTAGGAAAATACACCCAGTCACCCGACACATCATCATTATTCTTTGAGGATCATGCAACACATTTTTTGACTTTCTGGTAGGGCAAGACACATCATATACGGTCATTCAGACCACACGAAATAATCCTCTGGATGTTAGCTATTCAATTTCATGGCAATCTGACTATTTTTTAGTTTGACAGACCTTCAGACAGACTGACAGACCAGGATGAACCAGAGAGTACAACATCTCAGAATCCTACAATTCACAATAATTAATATATTCAATTTCCAGTTGAATACTTGTAATAACCCCCTGACAATCAACTTGCTATCACCAGATTTTCTAATTTCAAGAAGATCAACTATTCACATAAAGACAAAATAAAAATGTATGCTTGTATGAAAATATAATTGATTTTTGTTTATATTTATGGCTGTGTATTTGTTATCACTGACTGGAGGTCTTAGTTTATGGCCCTTTTTATTGAGCACCACATCACTGAGTTTAGTCATGGTGAACATTCCTGTCCTACCTGATGTACTCCTCTGACTTGTCGTATTTCCTGGAGAGATAGCGGGCAGAGCCCTTGCTGGGGATTTTGACCATGGAGAGCTCTTTACCGTAGCGAGTGAGATTACAGGGCGTCTCGCATGGACAGGTATCCCCACTGTTCTTCTGTAGCTGTGCTGCAACACAATTTAAACAGTGGTTTAACAGGTATAGACTGGGTCAGTTTCAGGGATGATTTGATGGCACTCACTCTACCAGAGAATCATACAAGATACTACACAGAAGGAAGAGGCAAACTCAATCTGCAACAAAGGAAAAAGTGTGAAGGAAGGGAGTGTGTCCTGTTTTTTTTACTATTTGGGTGCAGCACAACACGCTGTAAACACAACACTTATTTAGTTGCATTAGCATTCATTTGAAGCTGTGTTTCTCACTACCTGCTCTTTTAGCTCTGTTTTGATCTCCACCAATACCTGAGAAAAATACATGTCTCTTTAGATGCTAAATGCTCCAATGTGCAGCTGTAAACAAGGCTGATTTAATTGTGTTGAGAGTGAAACCAGTAAGACCAAAACAATTAGCTAAAAGATGCTAAAATGCTCCAAAATACTGAGGGGAACTTCAGAGTCAGGTGATAATTATCTGTTAATATACTTTATTCTATAACCATATAAATGACTGGTAAGCAGGCGTCCATTAAAACTGTACAATATACAAACTTCAGTTACAGTTTCAGTTTAACCACAATCTATGCACATTGTATATTAGACTGCAGGTAACCATATAAACATCATTTATGGGACATGTTTCCTTTAGTAAGTGGCAATGGTAAGTACTATTTGATCTGATGTAGTATAATAAAAGTAATTACCACCTGATTAAGATGATTAGGTCTTTTCTCTTTGTGGCTTTTTCAGTACGGTAATAAGGCTACAATGTAGTATTTCTATTGGGAAGGAGCAGTCGGCATCATTAAATCATATTACTTTAGTGCTCAGAAAATCACTAGTTAGTGTTTCTCCCAGTTGCATGGGCAATTTGGAGGATGAACAAATTCATTACAGCCGTTGAATGAAGAATTAACAGTTTGCAAAAATCATTAAGCGGATAAAATGTGCAACGAAAAGTCAGGTCGAGTCATGTTTTAAAGTCTTCTCCAGCAGTGGTTTCACCGCTATAAAAGAAACAGGCCACATGATATTAACAAACCAATATTGTTCTGGATATATTAACAAAATGATGTGTTTGTCTAATGGTGTTATTGAATAAACAACTGTGGCAACAGTGTTTACAGTAATTCAGTCACTTCATTTGTTCGAAGAATAAATTATAATGTATAGTAAGTGCCACTAAGGGCTCTGCAAAACATACCTAGACTTAAAACCCAATTAACTTGCAGGCATGAATTGTTCACACATTGACAAATACATTTTCACAACCCTAACTCTGAAACAATGCTGTGCACACAGGAGAGTAAATAGCCTTTCACAATCTCTCTTTTCAAATTCTAAATGCATTCAGTCTAAACAAAAATGGAGAGAAGGAGCTCTGAAAAAAGTGATTAAAAATTGATGATGTATTTTATAAATCTAACAATGTGTATGCAGGAGCACGGTGGCATATATTCTTTGTCTGTATGGGAACAAAACATCTTTACAATATAAATATATAAATGATATTCTAATTTATTACCTCTCATAGAGGGTGAATGTAATCTTTGATTCAGGAATATGACCCACATGAATATGGCCCACTCTTAGATATATCTAAGATTTCATTCAACCAAATTTTAAATAGGGTTTGAATACAGCAAAGAGAGACGTAATTACATTTTCTGGCTTATTTGGCTGAGAAATGACAATTGTACAACCGTGATGCCTGTGAAACCGAGGCACATTTGTTCATTCAAGATGTCTGGAGGAGAGGTCAGAGTCAAAGCTGAGGGAAGGGGATGCAGATAGGCAGGAACTGAGAGTCGGTTTAATATTAACAGTTCAACAATGGATGCAGCACACCCATCAAGCTCTAAAGTGACTAAATCACAATGAGGAAAAGTCATTTCAAAATATTAAGTCTACCTCCAGGTATTTGGGTTACAGCAAAGAAAAAAAAGAATCCTTATCATGTTTACCGAGTGTGTTTCCATTTCCCTTTGGGGGAATCTATTGTAATAAGAAAAAGCAATGAAGGAAGATTGTTTCTTACCGAGTGCTTTATCAACACAGTTGATTTTACTGGGAGGGCAGATATCTGCAGTTCCTGGAGAGGAGAACAGAAAAATGAGGCTGATCAATCTGAAACAAAATGATGTGACCTGTGTCTGCTGCAATGAGGAGCCGTGGCTGTGAGCGAACACTCCGCAGCTTGTTAGTCATCTTCAAATGAGGCCAGGCATACAGAGGGGGGACTTCCATCCACAGAGCATGGGCTGTCCTTGATTGCACTGAGAAATGGAGCATGCTGGCTTCACACATAACGCATATTTAGAAAGTCTTTAAAAAACAATCAATGAGTCATTTCCTCGCAGACAAACATATTGCCCAGGCCATTAATGACAGGTATTCATTGGCAGCACGAATAATTGGCAGATGTGTGTTCGTCTGTCTGTAAAATGTTGTGGAAGTCTCCTTCCCAATCACGAAGAAATGTTAATTAATACACAGTGAAATAATGTCTGATGATCTGAAGAGTCACACAATTACAGCTACTTCTGAACAAAGTTAGATTTATTCTGTTGTGGAAATAACTTGTGATGATTTTACACAGGGGGAACCATCATTACACCATATTGATTGGAGAAAAAACTTCTTTTTAATCATCTTGTGTATTTCATTTTTTAGAACTTTTGTGCGTGGAAGTAAAAGCCGTGCAGTGTCACTGCATGCTGTCCACACACTAAGAACAAGAACAATTTAAAAGCCTTTTTTGGTGGTCATCCAAATATAGAAATAGAACGAAATACTGAAATATTAATCTTGAACCAAAGACTCCAGGAAAACACAGTTTTGCTTCTACACCTCTCAGTTCAGGAGTCCTGCGCAAAATATAAAATGCTTTATAAATAGCCATCTAAAATCACTTGTTCGGACAAATTTTAAGAATCTGTTATTTTGTTTTTGTGATATCCTGCAAACAATCACAGACGCATAAATATTTCACCAACAACATAAGCGCACAACATGAAGACAACCTAAGCAGCAATGTAATTCGGTGTCTTGAAAGGACAAGAAACATGAACGCACAAACCATAAAAAGTAGAAAACTAGTTCAGAATATGTAAAAACTAGAACCAACAGACTGTAAACAAATGTGGGATTGTGTAAACACATGCCAATCACAATTTGCTGGCATTTTAAATTCAGACTGTAAACGGTGGCTGAACTACATAAGTGAGAAAAATAAATAAATATGTAGCGGCAAACTGCTGCTGGAGAAAAAGAATTGATACTGTAAATTGTGTAAGGCACAGAGCTCCTGCGTTACATACAGTACTGTGTTGTCACATCGATGTCATAAAAGCATTTTCAATTCACAAGCATTCTCCCATGGCGAGCTTTTGAATCAATCGCTCTCTAGAACCTCTTGAAGGAGTTTCCGCAAACTTAATATGCAACAATAAATCTGATTCACTATTGATAAGTGCAGTGAACTAATGCAAGCTTTCCCGCTACCTGACGGAAGCTCTCTTCTAAATCCGGAATGGGCAAATGGCCTGGAAAAGCTTCCACATTCATTACATCTGAGATAATAAATATACTATCTGGTGTAATAGATCATCACAGAAAGCAAAGTGGTTCTGCTGCTCTCTAAACACATCTGCTCTGTGAACAGCCCTCACTATCGTTCAATTCAAAAGTTTCCCACTCAATAGACCTCTTCTTACCTGCGATTGATTGGTGAGTTGGAGGGCTTTTCATAGGTTTGAATCTGATACCCTGAGCATAAGATGCGTTTGCAGGCATGAGTAAAGTGAAAGCAGTAAGATGTTTCCATGCAGTTACCAGGTTGATAGGGAAGTCAACAGCCATCTTAGCTAGTTTTTCCCAAATCATGAGCTCATAGCTTATTGCAACCCAATCACGATCTCGTAGTAAGGTACTGACACCCTGCAAAGCACACAAACTGATTAGAAACGTGTCCGCTTCACAGCCTGTCCAGATCAAATGATTAGCTGGGATTTCTCTCCACCGATCAGACCACCACTTTGGTGCGACCGTTACAGCCTGCGAATGGAAGTTTGAAATGTGTGCCTGGTATATAAATGTGTAACCTAAGACTGGTGAGCCTCCCTTTGACAAAACTCCATTATGGAACAGCTAAGTTACAGCAGTATGGGGTCAAATCAGTATTAAAACCTGCGTCTACCTCAAATGTCTCATACTGTGTTGTTTACTCACATCAATAGACTTCCTCAAATTTTCCGTCGTGCCAAACAAAGCCGCAAATGTCAGCTGCGCTGTGTGAACGTGGAAGCCAAAGTGATTTCTTCATACATTGTGAGTTTCCTGCCTTAACTTAAAAATGCGACCACCTCAAAACATGCCCAATTGTCAGACCCATCAGCTAACAACAGTGGGTATTCAGTGAGTCAGCTCTTTGACTTCATGCAGCCTGGCCATGATGACGCACTGAGTAAGACCAGAGACACTGCGTGAATGGTGGAACGACAGTCACTACACAATTGTGTGTGTCATGTCTTCAGTGTGCTGTATCTGTGTCTGTTTGATTGTCAATCTGCTCTGCTCATATTATCACATGTCCATAGCTAATTCACCATAATTCAACAGTAAATTTATCTCTGATATATTTTTTTTTTCACTGCTTGATTTAGAGGTGCCCTGTAGTATATTCAATAAATCTGATATTGTAACAGGTCTTGCTTTTTTGTTGTTTTTATATATCAAACACTACAATAGTTGCTTACAGTACACATGGCCCCATTGAAAATGTGTTTTTTTGCTTCAACTTAAAATTGTCTTGAAAATGAAAACTGAATCAAAATGTTCTCCGTGCTACATGTTGTTAATCAGTTGACATTTTAAATTGATTGTGCGTTCGAGGCAATCTCTCATTGTGTGAGTCAATGTTAAATTAATCTTTTAAAGCCAAGAGCTGTTTGCAAACCATCTTCCAGTGGAAACTAAACACGAGAACAACCAGGACTGATACAAATAATCAATCAAAAATAATGAATGAGCACCACAGAAGCACAACAGCTGAGATGTACAAGCATATGGATCAAAAAGTCATTGAGACTTGTCGTCTGAAGAGTCACTGTCCAGAGAGCTACCAGCACTGCTGAAGGGCATTCCACTGCAGATATCAAGCATCAAGGTCAGGCATGTGGCAGCCCAAATTATGTCCGTGCTGGAATTATTCAAGTGAGCAACAACATAATTACTTGTTTTGCACACAATGTGTCATCTGCAAACACAGGGCAGGTTTTTTTCCCATCACGCTAGACCAAACAATTTTTAAATGCTAACTCTTTTGGAGGATTTTAAACTTCTGATTTTCCCAATGTGAGTTGTGTTACTTTAATTATGCTTGTCATGTCATGACACGTAACATTGTACAGTTTCATGTTGGTGTTTTTCTACAACCACACATACATTATATTCTTAGCTTAGGTATCAGTTTATTCATTCTCGGGTCCTGCCTGACTGTAATCCGACAGCATGGATTACTAATGTGTGTGCATTTGTTATTTAGTCAATCAACCTGCTGGGGCTCTGTGTAAATGTGAGGTAGGGCTTGATCTTACCGGGCATGTGCACCATCCTGCAGCTGCACACTCGCAGGACCTCGTTGGTCTCGCAGAGCAAGCGACATGCACTGATGCTGTATGTGTCGTATCCTGGGAACTTCTCTTTGCTGGTGGAGCGGCAGTTCCCCCAGGGCTGGGGCAGATAGGTCAGCTAAGTACACAGAGATTTATTAGACCTCAGTCTTGAACCACCAGGCGCGAACAGTTGCATGAAGAAGAGTAATTTAGTAGGGAGGTGGGGGGGGGAGCAGGACGGTGGGCTGTGATGAAGAAGACCTACCCTCTGCTCCTGACATGAAACAAAGGTCTGGAAGCCCGGAGAGACGCCAAAGCCCAGCTGGTGGATGTAGGGAGGCTCGTCCTGACTGTGGATCTGAACTCGGATGCCGGCCTCCAGGGATGTCTCGTCTTCAGGATGAAACAGAGCACAAGCACGGAGCATTGCAGAGGGAGAGAACAAGGGAATTACAGATGGCTGCCTCATATGACAACTAACTGCAAACCATATTTCAGTCATGTTTGAAAAACATGGCAGTAGGGATTATTATTATGTGACAACTACAATGCAAACACAAATCTGAGGTATTGTGTTCAGATATTTCCTCTTACAAATCACATTTTCCAGGTTGCAGGAATGCAATCAAACAATGCAATATTTACCGCCTGTGAGCCGGAGAAATGGTTGCTAGAAATGGTGGTTATCTCATGCTGTAGCATATGATGGGATTACATTGGACAAATAGTTTTGAGGCTTACTTGTCTCTCTCCAGATGGGCAGATACTCATCCTGCTGGATATCCAGCATGATCTCCAGCCCATTTCCCATTCCACCCTGCTTGCTTTTCCTGGATGTCGTCTTGTTGCCATTAAAGGTATAGCATTTCCCATATCTGGTGTAAACCTGGAAGAGAATAGATTCCTATCATCAACATCACCATGAACATGACAAAGTCCACATGCCGGCTGTGACAACATCATACTTGTGGTGCATTGCAATGAAGGCAGAGATATGGATGAAAAAAATAGATAAACAAGCTGAGTGTCTGCTTGGGCAAGTTACTGAATATTACCCACAAACCTCTGGATGCAGTCTGCTGGCTGGCTCAGTCCCTCGTGGACTATGACAAGCTGTATTTGAATTAATTCCCAACACCCACCACATAAACCCTGCACAATACTGTGCAACAGTACTACGACCCCACTGAAATATCAAATGGCATAATAGATTCTTTAATCTTCCTTCAAGAGAGAACTAAAGACAATAAGAGAGAGACATCATGTCACCATCTATCAGAGGAGCTGTCTCTGTGGGGGACACATCATCTCTTTGTTTATGCGTCTCATCTAAACCGCTGCACTGCAGAAAATGTGCATCAGATCATTTATCTCGTACCTCTCACAAGCTTTAAAGGGACAATCTATGATCTACATGGAATCAAAAAGGGACTGTATATCCACTACCAATATCAAAAACACAGGATGGGAACCTGTCATCAAACTAGACAACAACAAAATCTAAGTTACCATGTTTTAAGAGTAATTCGAATAATCATTTTAATTTAGATTTAATGAATAATATGTAATAAATAGAAATATGTTAAACACTAAATGCTTATTATTCAATTCCTCCTTTGATAAACCCTTCTCCCAATCAGTGATGATGCAATCATGCAACAGTAAGACAATATCATGTATGTAGGTTAGTGCGTATTTAAAGACCCATTCACAATGCCCTTGTTTTAAAACCAGTTACCTCAAAACATAAAAAAGCCAGAGATGGTGTTTTCAACTGACGAGCTAACATTAACTCATTTAGCTAGCTAGCTACAGCTGAGAAAAAGTGCTAGCCCGCAACATTGACGATTGCTGGCTAGGATTGAGCTTGGCAGGTTTAGCAACAGTAACGAAGGGAGGCGGAGCTTGGCAAGCGGTCATTTCAGGTGTTCTGTGAACATGCTAAAATAATAAATACAAAAACAACAACTTTGCTTAAAGGTTTTTGCTGGCTTTAAGAAAACATTGCTTTTGAGAATGCCTCACATGCCCGCAACTATCATGGGTGAACATCGTTCTGCTCTGTACACATTTATAATACATCATAATACATCTTTTCACAGAGAAAGTAACCTATTGGATTTGATTTGTTCAAAGATCAAATAAAAAAAGGACAGTGATGAAAGTACTAAAGCCGAAGAAATCACATGGCAGAGGTCAACCGACAAATTGCTGGAGAAATGACAGTGAGATAACAATCGAGCTGAGTAGATGGCAGACGTATCATTAAAGGGACACTGCGACCGTCCCAGCATTCTCCAAAACATCGACATCTATGTTCTGACTTTGATATCAGCTTGATCCACCTAATGAGTGCTGTGATGTCTAAATAAGGGATGCTGGTGGAACAACAGACACTCTCATTTACAGACCACAGGGTGCATTCACATCCGAGATGGTTGACCAACAAATCAAAGTCACGGTTGCGAGGTTCAGTCCAGTAATTCCCTGGAACAGTTGGCAATTTAACAATATCCACAACAGTGATTAGAGCAAGAAATGAGTACCAGTTACAAAAGCTCGGGCTTATTTGGAAGGAGAGCTGTATTTTACACAATAATAGACCTCGAGGCTTTTGATCTGACTGTGTGTGTGCATGCATGTTTGTATTGAGAGAGTTTCTGAATGCATCAAAGTAAGTCGTAGAGTTAAGGATTCAGAGAAATGGCTGACACAATTACAGATCTCCGTTTGGCCTCCGATGTGGTACAAAGGGGGTCTCCATGGTGAAAAGTTGTTCAGTTAGTTCTGCATTTCTTTGTAAATAGTAGAATCTTTTTCGGCTGGTGTGATTAGAAAATGGGAGGTGGCAAAGTGGGGGAGGGGGCCAGGAAGAAGTATTCAAGTGTGACATTTGACTGACATGTGCTATTAGGTTGAAATGGTTTAATCTCTTATTTGGCTGGTGCGGAGCAGTTGAGGAGGTAAGCTGCACTTATCATTGATCCTCCCCCCGTTCATTGACACACTTAAGCCTCCGCAGGCAGACTTTATCTGATGGAGCAGGCAACAGAGGCAAAGGAGGATTTCACTTTAGAAAAGCTCCAAACACCCCGACCAAGTGCCTGGGTTTCCGCTCTAAAACTTTGGGCTCTGAAGGACGCCGGTGTGTTTACAAATGATGTCCCCAGAGAGTACGGCAAAGTTTTCCCATCATCTCACCCAGGATGTGGTTGTTGGCAGAGAGCTTCCACTGGTTTGTTTCTCTGCCTCTGAACCCCCCCCCCTTCTCTGTCTGCATCTGCAACGTGATTGATTCATTTTTCTCTTGTTACATCTCGCACCAAATTTAGCAAAGGTAACAGGGCTGACTTGGGCAATTCCCAAGTGGGGACTTGGCACTGCTGTTGACAAGCTGAAACAGAGCAGCAGCATGGCAGTTACAAACCAAATAAAAAGAGGTTTTGTACTCCTCTGAGTGGCTCAGTTGTTTACAAGAGCTAATTATTGCAGCATTGTTCACTTTGTTGTCATTCGGAGGTCTAAAACTATATCACTCCATTCAACAGACTTTTAGATGGAAAATAGATCCAAACATGTGTTTCAGTTCTGTATTACTCTGTAAAGTGATGCCTGAACACAAACTTATTACACTTAATATTATATGTTGTGACCCCATGTTGTTGTGTTATTTATGTACTGATTTTACATACTATTATTATTCTGTTTCTCCATATTGTGATTCTACCATTCAAGGATGGATTATCTTCTGGACAAATTGGATAACTGGCATGGGGCCCCATAAACTCATGGGTCCCATGGTCACCTTGTACCAATTAGCTTGAATAATTGCTCATTTGTTTGGTAATAACAATATAAACTGAAAACTAGAAGGAGCTGTAATAAATATTTATGTATTAATAATGGTCCACGTAACATGATTGGACTTTCTTGGTCGTAGAACCCTAAAACTAAAGTAATTAGTAACTTATAACTAATTTGATAATTTACATTTGGGCTTTTTCTACAGTGACCTCTCAACGCTTTTTCTTTTAAAAGGCTTATTGTTTTGGTTCTCAACACTCTACAGTGTTGTTTTTTGGCTGCAAAGGACAGCTTCATTTTCAGCAAGAAAACAACAACAACTTCCAAAAAACCCCACTGTACCTGACAATGTCAGGGTTTAGCTGGTGAGCATACTGGAACATTTAGCAGTTATTTTCCCCTTAACATGATGCTCAGTCCTACAGAGGGATCGCTTGTTAAAATGAAATTCTAACACCTTTATTAGTACATTTTTGTTAACCACAAACTAACTCACACAGCAAACCTGGAGAAGGACAGTATTTCAGACAGAGAGTACTGTTTTCTGGGTCTCTGTGCACTGAGTACTCCACACAATGCATAATGGAAAGAATGGGGGGGCCCTATTTCACCTTTTACCTATTTTACTTTTACTTTGTTAATCCGGCAGTACTCTATACTCTCTTTATATGATGATCTGTTGAATGTGTGAGGGATCTGTTTTTTCTGTGGATTCTTTTCCACTACAGGTAGAGGGTGTCTTATGTTCACTCTGTAAAGCTTTCTGAGGCAAATCTGTGATTATGGGCAAAATTAATCAAGTTGACTCAACTTGACTAGACTAGACATTGGACTTATAAATGCATTAAGATGGAGCTCTCATCTACTGCTGCAACATGTTATAGAACAATGCCCGACTTCATGCCATTTGCACATACTGTCTCTCACCAATTATAGCATAAATGGCTTAAATGTCAATTCAATTCATTATGTGTCTTTTGGCCGTGTTTTTTCTTCCAAAGTGTCTTGTTTCTCTGTCTCTCCATGCTAAATGTATTAAGAGACCAACCCCATACCATGTAATTCATAAGCCCTAGTGGGAGAAACCCCTTAAAACCCTCTTTATGGCCATGATCTGACAATCCCATGGCACTTTTCCTTTTAAATAACCTGCAGGAATCACTTCAGTGCTTCTCCGGAGGACATCCATTTACAGGCAGGCGACGTGTCACAGGGTAGCTCTCCGAGTATGAGGAGGGAGGACTTGAATTAATTTACGGAGGGTGGTAGAATATGCCATAGCACTGATTGGCAGTTGAAAGCCATTAAGGCAGGCCCATGCAGGTTTAAGGTTCCTTGATTTAATGGCTTCATTACAACCTCCCGGCAGAAAGACTTGAATAACAATGTGACATGAAGTGAATATTTACATTGTATTTCTGAACGTTTTGGCAGGACCAACGGTGTAGGCTGCTGGTCAATGTACTACGCTCTCTCGGCCACTTAATTAATCTATTATCAACTTTTTAATTGTTAAAGTGGTAATCCAACAAATAATCATTCAGTTTCTTTCAATCATTTTCTTCTCTAGTGAAGTGATAGTTTAAGGTACTCTTTTCTAGAAATCTCTGGTATTGAGGAAACTGCACTGTGAGCAAATGGAGGTTTATCCCATTGGCAGACATGTTGACTTGTTGTAAGAAAAACGCAATTTGAGACAAAATGACTCGCTACAACACATGTACAGGGAAGGACAATGGACAAAATGTAATTTACACACAAGTCATTTGCATGAAGGAGCTGTTTGACAGAATAGTCTTTACTTCCCTGCCATAGAGACAAAGAATTAAAACAATCTACATTTACACCACAGCTAAAAGTGTCCCAGTTCACATTGTTATGGACCATATGGATAGGTCATGCATGCAGTTTGTATTTTGATGCTCAAATAAATAAATCTGCATTGCCATAACAATGCATAAATCGTACATGATGCATCTGAGCGAGGACAAAATTACATCCTGTAACAATGAGAAGCTAAATAGCTGCAAAAATAATTTAGGGACCCACCTCAGCTCGGTCAAAACTGTTGTTGACAACGGG